TGTGTACATTGTAACTGGAAATGAGCTTTATATTACTGAACTGCCAAATTATTTTTGAGTGTGATTAATTATATGAGTCTGCATTTTCCTAAATTGTACCAGATGAATGAAAGAACAAGAATTGAATGAAATTGAAAACTGTGTGGCAAAATAAGCAATTTCTCCTACAAAGACATCGAAAAGGATAAATAAGTATGAGGGAAAGAATTAATTTTTCAAAGTCTATGTTAACCCATTCAGTACTTTACAATGTTGTTGATATTATGCAGATTTATATAAAAGAGTTGTGAGTAAACAAATTGTACATTAATTTTTGACAACTATTTATACATGTTTTTAATTAAGATTGTGTTACAACAGCTTCATAATGATCATTTTCAAATATGATATGATATAAATGGACCACTTCAGAAATTTGGATAAAATGAACAAACATAAAATTCAAGATATCTGGAGTTGGCAAAAAAGTGTCAAAATATTTCAGAATAAGTGGACTCTTATGGTTATGATTTGAGTTTCAGGACCATGATATGGTAGTATTTTTGCTGTCAACATGATTATCAACAACTGCTTTGATTATGAAATAGCAATGTTTCTGACATAGTCAAAATAACTTTTAGTTAAAACGAAACCATTTCAATGTCATCAATTTTGAGTTGGCAAATCATGGCCAAATCATTTTTGACCATGTTCAAAACATGGTTGACTTAGTTATGTCCGTGATTATTTTGACAGGGTTACAAGTTATAAGTATGTTTACGGGTATAACAAAAGATAAAAAAATGAGGAATTTCAGTGAAAAAATAGGGCATCTTTAGGAACTCCCTTTGAATTTTTCACTTTTTTAGTAATTTTAGCCAAACTGAAAAAATTAGGATTTTTTTAAGAATTTTAGGGACACAGCGGACAGCCTGCATTAGCTTTAAACCACAGCATCAGCATCCTGGAAGAAAGTTACAGCAATGCCATCATCTGAATGGTCACCTGAAATAAAGTTGACATACTGATGCACTGCTTTTCATGGTGACCATGCAGATTGCTACGTGGAGCACAGCAGCCTTGAGCATAGTAATGTGATGCTGATGCAGGCATACACATTCTCTTACCTGTAAAATACAAAAGGCCAAAAGCAGTACCAAAATTTAAATCTCTTTGAATTCCTCGGCAATATATTTTTAAAAAAATATAGGAAAAATATTCAAAATATAGGAGAATATAGGAAAAATAGGAGGCTTTTTAAAATATAGGATTCCAACCCAAAATATAGGAGTTTTATAGGAATATAGGAATTGGTTGACAGCCTGGTGAAGGTCAAGGTCTGTCTGGTTATTTTTAAGGGCTATCCTTGAAGATTATTTTGTTCAAGATTGAAGACAATCCATTCAAAAACAAGCAATTATCATAGTATTGCAAGCAATCCATAAGTTCCCTACCGGTTAGATTCTGAAGGGCCATTGGCCATTCACTAATGTTTCAATTTTTCTCTATTTTAAGTAAATTTGTTGGAAAAGTTCTTTAAAAGTGATCACAGGAAACAGTTTTTATGGACAGACGGACTGAAGGACACTCTAAAGTTAATATTTGAAACATCCCTGTTACCAAAATATAACATTTTAAAAAGCAAAATTCTTAAAGAGGAGATAACTCTGGAATTAAAGATGCAATTTCATAAAAATTTTCAGCTCTTTTTGACTAATCGCAAATATTGTTATATTTGCCATGTTTTAAGCCTATTTGTTGCCAACGCAACCAATATTTTTTTCAAAATAGGAAGAACAGATAAGACATGCATAATCTCAAGACTGCCATCTACCCATATGTCAAGTTTCATAAAAATATTTCCAGTACTTTTTGAGTTATCACTGGATTCAGTTTATGTGTAAAATTTGCCATATTTTCAGTCTATGTGTTGCCATAGCAACCAGAATTTTCAACAAAGGAAGAAAAGAAAAGACGTGCATAATCTCCAGACTGCCATCTACACATATTACAAGTTTCATAAAAAATATTTCTATTACTTTTTGTGTTAACACTGGATCCAGTTTATGTGTAAAAATTGCCATATTTTCAGTCTTTTTGTTGCCATAGCAAACAGAATTTTCAACATAGGAAGAAAAGAAAAAGACGTGCATAATCTCCATACTGCCATCTATCCATATATCAAGTTTCATAAAAATATTTTCAGTACTTTTCAAGTTATCGCGGGATCCAGTTTTATGGACGGACGGACTGACAGACAGACGGACGGACAGAAAACCTAAAGTCACCTCCGGTAAACCGGTAGGGGACTAATAACAAAATAACAGCCAGTAATAGCCAAAAAAAAAATTGAAAATTTCAATAATTTGACCTTCAAAGTCAAGGTCATTTATGAGTGAAGGTCAAGGTCTGTCTGGTTATTTTTAAGGGCTATCCTTGAAGATTATTATGTTCAAGTTTGAAGACAATCCATTCAAAAATAACAAAATAACAGCCAGTAATAGCAAGAACAAGCAAAATTTGGACTTTTGACCTTTATGGATGAAGGTCAAGGTTGGTGTGGTGTACTGAAAGGTCTTGTCCCAAGGGTTGTTGTGGCCAAGTATGAAGACAATACACCAAGAACTAAAAAAGTTATGATCCAGGTACAAAATTGCGGACGGCAAAGCCGCCAGGACTATAACAATACCTCTACTTAAAAAAAAAAGAAAAAAAAAGGCCAAGCTAAAAATGAGCAATGGGCAATTACTCCAAAATTAGGCAAGGTAGAATTATGGTTCTTTTGCACTGCACTTCAACCAAATGACATCTATCTACATACAAAGTTTCATGCTGATATCTCTTATAGTTTTATAGTTATGTCCTAGACAAAGTTCAAAATGTTAAAATAAACAAAGGGCAATAACTTCAAAATTAGGCAAGGCAGAATTATGGTTCTTATGCATTGCACTTCTACCCAATGAGATCTATCTACCTACTAAGTTTCATGTTGATATCTCTTATAGTTTCTGAGTTATGTCCTGGACAACGTTCAAAGTTAACAAGAGCCACCCCCGGGCGGGGGCAACGCTCGACTTTTTACTTTTTCTAAACGCAAACACAGAAAGGTTTGAACATATATTGATGTTTCCTTTTTATAAATTTAGTTGGTCTGTCTTGTCACATTAGTTTTGTTTATATATTTTGTATATATATGAATAGAAACATTAAGCATATTTCTAAAAATAGCAACACTTCGCAATTTCTAAAAATAGCAACAATGACGCAATTTCTAAAAATAGAAAAAATGACGCAATTTCTCAAAATAGAAAAAAATGACGCAATTTCTAAAAATAGAAAAACAATGACGCAATTTCTAAAAATAGGGAAAAAAATGACGCAATTTCTAAAAATAGAAAAAATGACGCCATTTCTAAAAATAGAAAAAAATGACGCAATTTCTAAAAATAGCAACAATGACACAATTTCTAAAAATTGAAAAAAATGACGCAATTTCTAAAAATAGAAAAACAATGACGCAATTTCTAAAAATAGAAAAATGACGCCATTTCTAAAAGTAGAAAAAAATGACGCCATTTCTAAAAATAGCAACAATGACACAATTTCTAAAAATAGATAAAATGACGCAATTTCTAAAAATAGAAAAACATGACGCAATTTCTAAAAATAGAAAAAATGACGCAATTTCTAAAAATAGAAACAATGACGCAATTTCTAAAAATAGAACAAAAATGACGCAATTTCTAAAAATAGAAAAAAATGACGCAATTTCTAAAAAATAGCAACAATATCAATATATAATATATATATATATATATATATATATACCTGCATATATGTATATATATACACACACACATTTATATATATATATATATATATATATATATAATACATATACTATACATACACACACACCAATAAATGCACAATCTGAGAAAATTCAGTAATATAACCTTCAAGGTGAAGGTCATTAAAGAGCCCAAGCAAATTTGGGTTTGATAAACAACAAGGTCTGGTCCTTAAGAATGTTCTGTTATAATATGAAGTTTGTCCCTTCAAAAATAGCAAAGTTACAGTCAGTTACTGCCAAAACAATGAAAATTTCAATAATTTGACCTTCAAAGGCAATGTCATTAATGAGTGAAGGTCAAGGTCTTTCGGTATATTTTTAACAGTTATCTTTGAAGATTATTATGTTCAAGTTTGAAGACAATCCATTCAAAAATAACAAAGTTACAGCCAATAATAGCCAAAAAAATGATAATTTCAATAATTTGACCTTCAAAGTCAAGGTCATTGAGGAGTGAATGTCAAGGTCTGACTGGTTATTTTTAAGGGATATCCTTGAAGATTATTATGTTCAAGTTTGAAGACAATCCATTCAAAAATAACAAAGTAACAGCCAATAACAGCATGAACAAGCAAAAATTGGACTTTTAACCTTGAAGGTCAAGGTCATTTATGGATGAAGGTCAAGGTTAGTGTGGTCTACTGAAAGGTCTTGTCCCAAGGATTGTTGTGGCCAAGTATGAAGACAATACACCAAGAAATAAAAAAGTTATGATCCAGGTACAAGTTTTCGGACGGCAACGGCAACGCCGACCTGACTATAACAATACCTCTACTTTTTTTTTCAAAAAAAAAAAAAGTCGAGCTAAAAAAAGAACAAAGGGCAATAACTCCAAAATTAGGCAAGGCAGAGTTATGGTTCTTTTGCAATGCACATCTACCCAATGAGATCTATCTACCTACAAAGTTTCATGTTGATACCTCTTCTTGTTACAGAGTTAGGTCCCAGACAAGAAGAGTGGAAGGCTGGACAACTGGACGGACGAAGCGGCGACTGCTCACCCTTTGGGGAGCATAAAAAACAATATACATGTACGCTTCTGTGTAGATATTAAAGCTCCAGGCAACGTTCTATATTCTGCTTAATTGATGTATCTTCAAATATTTCAAAGTAATGATACTTAAACATCCATATCTTAACACACAATCAGACTGGTTTTTAAACATACCCATAGGATCTTTGATGATATTGTAGTAATCAGGCACTTCAGTAGGATCTACAGGTTCGAGGAATGGCCAGCCCATCTTGTGAGACTGCAAGTATAAAACAGTTTTCAAATGTAGTACAAGAAATTATCTTATTATTGCAAGCAATCCATAAACCCTTACGGGTTAGAACCCCAGCAATATTCTGAAGGGCCATTAGTCATTGAATAATGGCATTGAATGAATGAACTTAAATCTTTTGAGATCTTAGTTTGTCTATATCTTAGTAATGTGTTAATTTTTCCTGCCTAGTAAGGAAATTATGTTTTATACAACAGATAATCAAAAGATCCAGTCAGTCAGTAGTTTAAGCTTAATGAGGGTCCATCCGCCCGCGAGGGCACAAAATGCAGCTTGCGCTGTCGAGTACGGACCCCGGACATGTCACCAGTCATGTCCTTAAAGAGTTAATTTTGAAGCACAAAATGGTGATAATTTACCTCCATGCAATTTCCACGGAGTATTAGCCAAAGATATGAATTTTGAGCCAAAAGTAGGTCACTGTACGGCGGTCAATGAGAACCTTAATGTACAGTAACCTGTAAAAGATCCAATTTTCTCAGGATGAATATGTATAACTAATGTTTCAACTTTTCTCTATTTTAAGTACAGTTGTTGGAAAAGTTCTTTAAAAGTGATCTTTAAGAATGGACAGACAGACAAACTAACAGAGACTCTGAGGGTAAATCTTAAAACATCCCTGGTTGTTACCAGAATATAACATTTTTAAAAGCAAAATTCTAAAACTAAGGGGAGATAACTCTCAAAATAAAGAAACTACACTTATGAACATTATTGTGTAACAAAGAACAATTATCTAAGTTTAAAGAAGATACCATTTATAGTCAAAAAGAAGAAAAGTGAAAAAATAACAATTTTCAAATATACCATTTATAGTAACAAAAAATAAAATTCAAAAACATTTTTAAGTAATTTCAAGTTCAAAATGAAAATAATCATGGAAACCTATGTCTTATAAATCTCATCACATATGAAGCAGGTGTTGATAATGAATTTCTGGACATATAGACGCTAGATTTATAACCCTTGTCACATTATTATAATGTTGGAGTTTGAAATAAATGCTATAAGAAATGAGGAAGCTTGAGTAAAAAATAATAATTTCTGGAAAGAAATCTAAGTGCAAGGGGGACATAATTCTGGAAAAAGTCAAGCTAGAGTATCGAACCTTCTCCAAAATGACTTGAGTGATAATAAGACACACATATATGAAATTCCAAGTAGATGCAGTAAGACATAAAGAAGTTATAAAACAAGAGGGCCAAGATGGCACTAGATCGCTCACCTGACCCATCGAACTCATCCCAGCAATTACCTAGACAAGGATCCTGACCAATTTTCATGTCAGGTGAGTCAAAAATGTGACCACTAGAGTGTTAACAAGGATTTTTCATATTTGAGCAGTGTGACCTAGTTTTTGACCCCAGGTGACCCATATTCAAACTTGACCTAGAAATCATCAAAACAAACTTTCAGACCAATTTCCAGGATATTTGGATCAAAACAGTATCCATTAGAGTTTTAACAAGACTTTTCTATTTTTTAGCTCCTGTGACCTAGTTTTTCATCCGAGATGACCCATGTTCGAACTCATCCGAGCAATTACCTATACAAGCATCCTGACCAAGTTTGATGACAAATGAGTCAAAAATGTGACCACTAGAGTGTTTACAAGGTTTTTCCGTATTTGGGCGGTGTGACCTAGTTTTTGATTCCAGGTAACCCATATTTGAACTTGACCTAAAAATAATCAAAACAAAATTTCAGACAAATTTCCAGGATATTTGAATCAAAACAGTAGCCACTAGAGTGTTAACAAGATTTTTCTATTTTTTAGGTCCTGTGACCTAGTTTTTCATCCGAGATGACCCATGTTCAAACCTATCCGAGCAATTTCCTAGACCAAGCATCCTGACCAAGTTTGATGAAGATTAAGGCAAAATGTGACGGCTAGAGTGTAAACGAACAAATGTGGACAGACGACATTCAACGATCCTAAAAGCTCACCAACAGCTATAGAGCGATGAGCTAAAAAATCATCATTTTTTTCATGAAAATTGTAAGTTTTGGTAGATGACCCATAGATGATATTATATACCAAATATCAAAGCTCTAAACATTGTACCTTCAGACAAGTAGATTTTTTACTACATGTTCATAGTGAAAATCAATGACCCACAAGGCGGGGCCCAAAATTTGACACTAGAGGCAAAATTTGAACAACTTTGGTAGAGTATCTATAGATGATATAATATACAAAATATCAAAGCTTTAATCCTTGTACCTTCAGACAAGAAGATTTAAGATTTTATTTACTATGTGTACATAGTGAAAATCAATGACCCCCTTAGGCGGGGCCAATTTTGACCCCAGGGCTATAATTTGAACAATCTTGGTAGAGGTTCACTCAAAATGTTTCATGCAAAATATCTAACCTCTAGCATTTGTCAATTTCGAAAAGATGATTTTTTAAAGTTTTTACTATATACGTATAAGGAAAACCTATGACCCCCAGGGCGGGGCTAATTTTTACACTAGAGGCAAAATTTGAACAACTTTGATAGAATACCAATAGATGATATCATATACAAAATATCAAAGCTCTAAGCCTAGAAGGTATTTTAAGTTTTTACTATATGTACATATAGTGAAAATCAATGAACCCCCAGGACGTGCCAATTTTGACCCCAGGGCTATAATTTGAACAATCTTGGTAGTGGTCTATCAGACAATGGCTTATGCAAAATATCTATGCTCTAGGCTTTGTGGGTCTTTACAAGAAGATTATTTAAATTGATCCTTATAATTCCTTTTGGTTGCTATGGCAACCTGATTTCTGCATGGGCCCTTCACCAAAGTCAATCCTGCCAAGTTTGGTTGAAATTGACCTTGTGGTTTTTCACAAGAAGATTTTTTAAGTTCACTATATAATCTATAAAACACAGAAACATACACACAAACAGTTGAATCGCTATATGCCACCGCATTGCAGATGCTGCGGTGGCATAAAAATGTTTTCAATCACAAATATTGTTATATTTGCCATATTTTAAGCCTATTTGTTGCCATAGCAACCAGAATTTTCAACACAGGAAAAATGAAAAAGGACGTGCATACTCTCCATACTGCAATCTACCCATGATTCAAGTTTCATAAAAATTATTTTCAGTACTTTTTGCTATCACTGGATTTCAGTTTTATGGTTTAAATTAGCCATATTTTTAGTCTATTTGTTGCCATAGGCAACTAAAGTTTTCATCATAGGAAAGAAAAGAGAAAGAGGTGCATAATCTCCAGACTGCCATCTATCGATATATCAAGTTTTCATAAAAATATTTTTCAGTACTTTTCTGCGTTATAGAACCCCCGGGATCCCCACGCCTTTTGCGGATGGACTGCGAAAGACAGCAGCCGGAGGGCACCAACCTTACAAGTCCCATCCGGCTTCCACCACACACCACGGCACTCGCTGCTACATTACCTCCACCCCCACTCTCTCCACCACTCCCGCAACCACCCATCAATTATGCGTGATTTTCCTACTTCGACCTCTCGAATCAGGACCACAAATTCTCTACCTACACGCAAAACTGGCCACTCAAAAATTAAATACTTTATATTACAGACCATATCAGAAAGGAACCTTTGCTAAAAATTCATCAATTAGAAACACTGGATTACAAATTAAATATTCTACACCCCCCAGCACCCCTCCACTCAGGAACCCACTTTTGATCACACTTATTCATAATTTCACATTACCTTCATCAATCGCAGCTCTCTCCCTCACACCCACCTCGCACCCACACCATCCTCCACCCCACGCTACACGCTCACAACCTCGCTCCCCTCTCCCTCCTCGCTCCCCATCGCACACCACACCCTTCACCGCCCACCCACCTGATGCTATCCACCCCACCTTCCAACCCACCTCTCACTGCTCCTTCAACCACACTTTCCCCTCTTCCACTCCCACCCCACCCCCCCTTCCGCTCACACTCTCCTCCCCACTCATCCGCAGCCAGCCACACTCACAGATTACACCCCCACGTCCCCTAGCTCCTCTCACGCGCCCAATCCACCCAACCACCTACTCCTGGGTCTACAAGCGCCCCTCAGACCCCCCCCCCCCCCCTCATACCACATAAACCACTGACATTCCTATTACCTGGATGCGCCCTGGTCCAGCCGCCTCTACCCCCTACCTCACCCCAGCTCCATCAGTCCTCTGCTGTAGTTCTTTAAGTTTATCGGGATCTTGTTTGGGTCTCGTACGTCGACCATTTAGCGCAGCACATGGTATCGCGTCTCATTTCATCAGCCTCCTTCTTGGAGTGATCCCCCCACACCCATCGCAGCCGACACCACCCATCCTGCGCCACACCTATCACCCCCCCCCCTCACCAATACCCACCCTTAAAACCCCCCACCACGCCACACACCTCCCACACACTCCTCTCGCGCCCCCACTTCCAACCCTCTTCAGCTTCCACCTCCTCACCCCACCCCAATCCTGTAGCAGGAATTCCATTGGTAACTGCAAAATAAATAATAATTAATAATGCTAATAAAGCAATCAATGCATGTAAACAATTGACCAGAATCAGTACAGTGTTATTAATTAGTTATTAAGGTATTGTTATCTGAAAAAAGAGGGCCCAGGAGGACCATGGACAAAGCTCACTTGAGAAATTTAGGCTTAAAGGTCCGGAAAGTTAAGAACCCCTTTTCAATTTCCCAGAAGCACAATTTAAAAACAAGGGACAGCTTAATCTGAACAATTTTTATACACAGTCACCAAGGAAATTTTTGTATTAATTTATTTCAAAACTGAACCAGTGGTTTAGATGTTGTTTCAATGACCCTTGGGGCAGAGCCAATTTTGACCCGAAGGCTTTTATTTGAACAAACTTGGTAGACATCAATTAGAAGATGTTTCATGCCATATATCTAAGCTCTACCTCTGTTGGATTGTCACAAGAAGTTTTTAAGTTTTTTACTATAATCAATTACCCCCTGGGGTGGGGCCAATTTTGTCTGTAGGGCTTTTATTTGAACAAACTTAGAAGATGTTTCATGCCAAATATCTAAGCTCTAGCTCTTTCGATTTTTACAAGAAGATTTTTTAAGATTTTTGTAAACAAGAATACATTTGTGAAAAATTATATGCCACCACATTTATATAACAGAAGTAGATTTTTTTTGTTACTTACAATTGAACTTTGTCATAATGCAGTAGTAGCTAGTGAATTTGGCGGTCAAGGTCATATTTCAGCATGTTAAATCATTAGACACATGTGCAGAAGTGTCTAATGTTAAGAAACAAAGGCCATAAGAATTTTTATTGACAACAAGATTGCATTTGAGAAAAATGCTATGCCCCCGCATGGTTCAAATTTCATAGCTGTACATCAAAGGACAAGAAAGTAGGTCACATCATCAAAATCTAGGTCAAAGTTCAATTTTACAACTAAAACTGCACATGGTCAAAATGTCATTGCTGTACATCAAAGGACAAGAAAGTAGGTCACTGTCCCTTTGGGCAAGGCATAATTTTGACCCAAGGGTTTAATAACAATCTTGATACAGGTCCACCAAACAACATTTAAAGTCAAATATCTAAGCTACAGCTTTCTCCCATTCAGAAAACATTTGTTTTATTTACTGTTTTTACTACGTGTACATAATGAGAATCACTGCCCCCGGGCAGGGCCAATTTTTGACATTTGAACAACTTTGGTAGAGGACCTATAGATGATATTATATATCAAACATCAAAGCTCTATGCCTTGAACCTTCAGACAAATTTTTTTTTTCCACTGTATGTACATAATGAAAATCAATGACCCCCGGGGCGGAACCAATTTTGACCCCAGGGCTATAATTTGAACAATCTTGCTAGAGGTTCACTACACAATGTTTCATGCAAAATATCTTAACTCTATCCTTCGTAAATTTAGAGAAGATGATTTTTTAAATTTATTCTTATAATTCCTTTTGGTTGCCATATCAACCAGATATTTAACTATATACATGTAAGATAAACCAATGGCTCCCACCTCTAGCATTCGTCAATTGCGAGAATAATTTTTTTAAAGTTTTTACTATATACATATAAGGAAAACCAATGACCCCTGGGGCGGGGCCGATTTTGACCCCAGGGCTATAATTTGAACAATCAGGGTAGAGGTCTACCAGACAATGCCTTATGCAAAATATCTAAGCTCTAGGCCTTTTGGGTCTATACAAAAAGTTTTTACTATATGTACATATAGCGAAAATCAATGACCCCGGGGCGGGGCTGATTTTGACCCAAGGGCTTTAATTTGAACAATCTTGGTAAGGGTCTACCAGATGATGCCTTATGCAAAATATCTAAGCTCTAGGCCTTTTGGGTCTTTACAAGAAGATTTTTTAAATTTATTCTTATAATTCCTTTTGGTTGCCATGGCAACCAGATTTCTGCATGGAATGAAATTTTTTGAACAACTTTGGAAGCCCTTCACCCAAGGAACAATCCTGCAAAGTTTGGTTGAAATTGGACTAGTGGTTTTTCACAAGAAGATTTTTTAAGTTCACTATATAATCTATATAACACACACACAAACACACACACACACACACAGGTGACATTGTCCTCAGGTGAGCTAAATAGTTGTGTTTCAGGGTCTTAACATAGAACATGACTGCAGTTTAAATTGCTTTTACAGAAATTATACAATGTAATTATACCAGGATAATTACAACTTACAGATAGCTTGGGCTATTCATCAATTAATGTAGTCAAGATGTGTATTACTGCATTCACTTTGGTAAATTAGAGTAATTACAACTACAGCCATGTGCTTGTTAATACAAATAAAATATACAGTCAAATATCAAATGCTGTTCAACTCTTGCAATATATACAGCAGTTACTTGAAAAAATGATTGGGCTAACGAAAATTTATAAATTTATTTTTCATTAGATATTTTTTTCATATCTTAATTAACCATAATTATATTAAACAAGAGGGCCATGATGGCCCAATATCGCTCACCTTAAGGAATAGATTTTAACTGGATTTTTCTTATTTAAAACAAGCAACATGTTTATAAAATACTTTAATGTTATTTAGTTAGTGTCAAATGTAAAGTATTTTTGGCCAACAGCAACAGGAATGCAATCAAGTGTATAGAAATACCTCTTTTTTTCTTTTCTTTAAAGTATAGGTTGCTAAAAAATACACTCCCTGTAGTGTGTTTACATCATGAAAATTTTAACAATGTCATCATAATTAACAAGGCGAAGTACAAATTTGGATAATACTTCAATAAAAATGGGTCAAAGACAAAAATGGCCAGGTTGCATTTGTATACCAAATAACATGACTCATGAGGCTGTGATGTTACAAAAATGTACTACCATTGACCATTAATTTCGAACATTTAACTAAGTCAGTAAACAGGAAGTGGATAAGCGATAGACCTGAACTTGGGACCACATATTAATGCAGTCACATTACCAAATATCAAGAGGCTGTGTTATGTAGCTGCTGAGAAAACTGTTACGGAAATATCCTTCCATTTACAATAAATGCCGAAAATTTAACTAAGTCATCAAACGGGAAGTGGATGAGCCACATACCTGAAATCATATCCCATTGTATGTGACTAAATGTTGATGCTGTATACCAAATATCAAGAGGCTGTGATAAGTAGTTGCTGAGAAAATTGTTAGAAAAAATTCCTACCATTGACCATTATTATGAATTTAACTAAGTCAGTAAACATGAAGTGGATGAGTGACAGACCTGAAATCGAATCCCATGGTATGGAACAATGTGTTAATGCTGTATACAAAATATTATGAGGTTCTGTAGAGTAGTTGCTGAGAAAACTGTTACCAAAAATGGCCCAACCAATTCGCCTGCCTGCCCGGAATCAAGTCTCAATACATGATGGTAAACAGTATTTTTTTTGCATATGATTATGTAAATTTTTTCGAAAACCAGTATTATAGTTGTACCAGATATCCCATTAGTGTTTAAATATTAAAATAATTTCTGATAAAAGTGTTTACTCAGGGGTATCATGTTGGGGACAGGATCTAACCCCCAAGCATCTATGGTTTATCATATTAGGACATCCCTTTCTACAAAAACTTCTTCCTGTTCACATGAGTGGCTCTATACACAGGTTTAATCATAAAATTAAATCATGTAAAATGTTATTAAAAAAAAACAAACAGCAGGGATCTCAGGAAGGTCAGAATTTCACCTGGCAGACTGTTTGGCAAAAAATTTTCATGAGTCAAATCAGTTTTTTCTTGTGTTATTTTTCTACACGAATCATTTTCATGTTTTCAGAAATGACTGTTTGGGAAGTCATTTAGGGTAGATTTTCAAGTTTAAATTGATAACTATTGTAAGGTTAGGCAATTATAAGCTTCTTGCTTAGTTAACATGATGATAAAGATAATTAAGTATTTCTAGCACCATGAATAATTACCATAATTATTGTTCCATTTTCACTTACATTTATTGAGGTGATAAACACATGTGTACATGCAGGGGTATAAGTTACAGAAACTGGAAATACTGAAAGAAAAGTTGAGGGGCCAGGGGGCCGCTAGGGCCCCCCGGTGGGTCCAGGGCAACGCCCTGGCTAGGGGTTCAGGGGGCTGGAGGCCCTCAGAAGCTTTTGCAATTTAGTGAATTTAAAAGTTCAAAAAAAGGCTCAAATACATACTCAAGTGCTTTATTTATCTTAAGATGTAATTAATCTGATATGTTAAAATTTACACAAATTCACTGAGCAATACTATTTAAGCAATATATACACATTCCACATAACAAATTATGTTCATTCTTTTTACTATTTTCAAATTCATATCTTAAATTTAATTCTTTTCCATTGTCTTCCACTTGTTGATGCAGCACACTTTCAACTGACTTGACAATTTCTTCAGATGTGGAAACATTTTGAATTCTCAATCCTAAATGATCCATTACTACTTGACTAGTTTCATCATCAAAGTACTGAAAGATTATATTCAGTACTTTGTTATTGATTTTTGTTAGTTGCCTTATCCATATTCAAAGATATTAACTTATCTTTCACTTTTGACTTCACTCCATCCTTAACAGATTTGGCTACACCATGTGTTGTTATGTAAATTGCACTGGTTGGAGAAAGAGTAGTTTTTTCAAGAGCAGGCTTGTCTTCAGCTAAATGTTTGGCATGATGTTAGAGATCGCCTGATGATGTTACAGATCGCCTGCTATGGAAAATGGCAGTCAATGTTCACTAAGAAAGGCAGTTGTGATTGCTCTTTGTTTGGCAATGCGATCTTGCATACTTTCAATCTTTTTGTCCACAGCTTTTGATGAGCCTGGCAGTACCTGAAAAAGACAATTTTCAAATAAAAGATGTATGAAAACATATCAAATAAAATATCACACTCATAAATTGTCAATTTAGTTTGGAAACAAGGAGATAATCAAACTAAAACAAGAGCACCGCTAGGCGGAGCATTATATGCCCGAAAGTACTCTTTCTTTTAGTGAGGAAGACATTGGAATTAAATACAGTATTACTTCCTTCAAAAAGCAATCCTCCTTTATAGCTGAAGAACATTCATGTATATATGCAGTTGCTGTTTTCAAAGCACCACCATCAAGTTGTTATCTTGTAAGTAAAAATGCTAAAACGGATGGACACCAAGACGTCAGGGGTATAAAGCTGTTAATCCTATAAAATTTTACAGCTGTAGTTCGATTAATACTTGAGTTTTTGAGTGAAAACTGTTTCCAGTTTAAAGGTGATAGTCATCCCTTGATCTTTGACCTTGTGACCCCAAAATCAATAGCGGTCTTCTACCCAATATGAACAATCATCCTATGAAGCTTGAATACTGTGGGCCAAATGGAACTTAGGTTATGCTCCGGAAACCATTTTCAGTATAAAGCTAATAGTGACCTTGACCTTTGGCCTTGTGACCCCAAAATCAATAGGGGTCTTCTACCCAATATGGACAATCATCCTATGAAGTTTGAAAACTGTGGGTCAAATGGAACTTGAGTTATGCTTCGGAAACCATTTTACGTATTTAGCTAATAGTGACCTTGACCTTTAACCTTGTGACCCCAAAATCAATAGGGGTTTTTTACCCAATATGGACAATCATCCTATGAAGTTTGAATACTGTGGGCTAAATGGAACTTAAGTTATGCTCCGGAAACCATTTTCAGTATTTCGCTAATAGTGACCTTGACCTTTGACCTTGTGACCCCAAAATCATTAGGGGTCTTCTACCCAATATGGGCAATCATCCTATTAAGTTTGAATACTGTGGGCCAAATGGAACTTAAGTTATGGTCAGGAAACCATTTTCAGTATTAAGCTAATAGTGACCTTGACCTTTGACCTTGTGACCCCAAAATCAATAGGGGTCTTCTACTTAATATGGACAATCATCCTATGAAGTTTGAATACTGTGGGTCAAATGGAACTTAAGTTATGCGCCGGAAACCATTTTCAGTATTTAGCTAATAGTGACCTTGACCTTTGACCTTGTGACCCCAAAATCAATAGGGGTCTTCTATCCAATATGGGCAATCATCCTTTGAAGTTTGAATACTGTGGGTCAAATAGAACTTAAGTTATGCTCCGGAAACCATTTTCAGTATTTAGCTAATAGTGACCTTGACCTTTGACCTTGTGACCCCAAAATCAATAGGGGTCTTCTACCCAATATAGGCAATCATCCTATGAAGTTTGAATACTGTGGGCCAAATGGAACTTAAGTTATGCTCCGGAAACCAAATTGCTAACAGACGGACGGACGGACGCCAGGGGGTATAACATAATATGCCCGAAATTCTTTCGGGCACATAAAAAACATAGATAAAGAAAATCGTGTTCTTATCCTTAAAATAATATTAAGCTGGAAAAAAAATTCCAGACCTATTTAAAATTTGGGCATAGCTTCCCCTGCACAAGGCCATTTTTTAATATAACCCCCAACCCTTGCCCAGACCACATGAAAGTTGGGGGAAGACAGAAGAAAAAGAGGGTGGGGTAATGTGCATTGTTTATTAACTACACAATGCACAACTAAACCTCTTTTCATTGCTTACTCTAGATAGTGGCTAAACTACACAGAGAAATGATCTTACTTGGTCGAAGATTCTTTTAGTGGACCTCATCTTCAGCTCATCGTGATTAAGAAGCACCTTTTTTCTGTTCGATTTGTCTAGTTGATCGTTTTGGAACAGACTTCACAATAGCCCATGGCATCCCATTTTTCACCTTTAGAGTCCTTTTCCGCTAACCACTCCCACCTCCATTTGTTTTTTGCATCCTTTTTCAGATCGTTAGTATTAACACCAGGCGGTAAACACATCACTGTTGTTGTCATTGTATTTGTACATGTATTTTGACATCAAATGACTATACAACAAACGATTTCATTGGCTGGTAAAAATTACGACGACCAATCAAATCTGATCTTATATATTCTAGCTCAATTTTTCATCGGCAATCTCCGTATTGTAATTGTTTTGATTCGTTTACAAACTGGTCTGAGATGGACAAATTTATTTTAAAATATATATCAAGCATTATCAAGCAATGTGCACACGCTAATTAATGAGACATGCACACACACCCTTCCCGATTTCTCATCGGATTTACGTCATTCAGAAAAATGACCTCGGAGATCGCCAAAATGAGACGGTGTAAACATGTATAATTTTAGAAATCATATCACGGGAGGTGATATTTACATAAATACTAAATGTCATCCCTTAATACTTCATATATAGTTTACAAAATACCTGTTTCAACGAAGCACACCGATAATTGTTGTCATCTTCACTTCTTTGTTTTGAAATACGAGTTTATGTTACAAAATTTCTCAATTTCCTTGTTCAAGGCCGCCATTTTGTCCTAATTCCAGTTTAGTTTGGTTTATAGGTCAGATTGATACAGATGTTTTCTAAGTTTCAGGACTGATTGATATCTATTATTTAATGATTTGAATTGTATGTTTATAATCAGAATGAAATATTATGTCATAAATCGTTCAGCAGATTCAGTAAGACCGGTGTACACAATGTTGAAATATATGATTTTTCCCGCAAACTGGAAGGAAGAATTTAAGTAATATCCGCACTGTAAATTAAACTTTTATCTTAATAAGCTATTTTTTGTGAAAAAATACAACCTTTTTTGTTCACTTTCGTTTCTTTGTGCAATATCTTACACAATAAAATGTGCAAGTCAATGTCAAGAACCAAAATACATTGCATTTTATTTCGGAAATGACACAGTCTCCTTTCTGATGATGTTACGAAATTAAAGGAAGAATCCATTATTGAATGGGGTAATCAACTACACTGTATCTCTGAAATTGGGGCTATTCTGATTGACTTTGTTTGAATTAACATTCACATTCAACAACACTTTCATCTTTCTAATGCTTTAACAGAAAAAATCCTCAAAACAATGTCTGTTGAGACAAAAAATACAAGATACACTCTCAATTTATCCCTACAAAGACAGTTTATACAATCTTGCAATAAAAAAACCTTTAACCCCCAAAACAGAGACCAATTTTCAACTGTAGACCATAATCTGATTATACTTTGTGGAAACCAACAAGCTCATGCCTTGTGAGAAATATCTAAGCTCTAGCCCTTTCCATTTTGAAGTATAAGAACTTTTAAGTTTTTTCTTTTAGTTGCCATAGCAACCAGAGTTTAGCATGGAATGGCATTCTTTGAACAATCTTGATAGAGCTTCATACAAAGAGTATTCCTGCCAAGTTTCATTAAAATTGGTCAAGTGGTATTATAGAAGATGTCGTCTAAATAAAATGTGGACGGACACCGGACGCTTTTGATTGGCCATCCTAAAAGCTCACCTGCACTATGTGCAAGGTGAGCTAAAAATCTTATTTATTTTCTTGTTATTAATGCAAAACTTTATTTATGTTATTAAAGGAAGGTAATTGCAGAATGGAATGCATATACAAACAAGAGGGCCATGATGGCCCTAGATCGCTCACCTGACTTATCAAACTCATCCAAACAATTACCTAGACAAGCATTCTGACCAAGTTTCATGACAGGCGAGTCAAAAATGTGACCACTAGAGTGTTAACAAGGATTATCCATATTTGAGCAGTGTGACCTAGTTTTTTACCCAGGTGACCCATATTCGAACTTGACCTTGAAATCATCAAAAATAACTTTCAGATCAATTTCCAGGATACTTGGATCAAAACAGTAGTCACTAGTGTTGACAAGCTTTTTCTATTTTTACCTCCAGTGACCTAGATGACCACTGTTCGAACTCATTCGAGCAATAAGCTAGACAAGCATCCTGACCAAGTTTGATGATAATTGAGTAAAAAATGTGACCACTAGAGTGTAAACAAGGTTTTTCCATATTTGGGCGGTGTGACCTAGTTTTTCATCCGAGATGACCCATGTTTGAACTCAGCGGAGCAATGACCTAGACAAGCATCCTGACCAAGTTTGATGATAATTGAGTCAACAAGAGGGCCATGATGGCCCTGGATCGCTCACCTGACCCATCAACCGCATCCAAGCAATGTCTTAGACAAGCATCCTGGCCAAGTTTGATGACAACTGAGTCAAACATGTGACCTCTAGTGTGTTAAAAAGATTTTTCTATTTTTAGCTCCTGTGACCTAGTTTTTGACCGGATATGACCAATCTTCGAACTTTACCTAGAAATTATTAAAACAACCTTCCTGACAAATTTCCAGAATATCTGGTTCAAAACTGCAGCCACTAGAGTGTTTACAAGCTTTTTCTATTTTTAGCTCCTGTGGCCTATTTTTTGGCCGGAGATGACCCATCTTCAAACTTTACCTAGAAATCATCAAAACAACCTTCCAGGCTTCGCGAAACTGCTGAAACATTTGCCTGACATTCGGTCAGACAAACTTTCAATTTTTTGTCTGACCGAAAGAACTTTTGTCTGACCGAATTTTTTCCAAATATATATATATGGTAATACCTTTGTGTTTTTTTAAAGACATAGGAACTTTTAAAGATGTGCAAAACAATTTTATTCTCTTAAATAAAACATCAGTTTATCCAGATTGATGGACTCTGTCTGGAAATTTAAACATTCATGATCAAAATCATCATCATCATATGATCTTTATAAAATTTATGACACAATGTACATTTCATCTTATTTTCTTCCTCGTTAAAAACCAACCACGAGCGGCCATTTTTCCATTTACCCACAAATTTTCTCGGCAGGCGCCTGGACTCGTATTTCTTTTGTTTCGCTTTTTTCCTTCATTAGATAATTTACGTTTTTTACCTGGCGTAGCGCCAACGTAATAATTTAACAATGCAGTAACACCGACATTTTCTTCTGAGTACAAGATCATCGAAAGTTGTATGTATCTAGAATTTGATTGGACACTAAAAATGAAACGGCAAATCAAAACTCGTTTTACATTTTTTTATTCAAGGGAGAAAGCTCGGTCTTGATCGGTCTTGGATATATCCCGGTATTCGTACCGGACATAAGGTCCGAAACTCGTAAAAAAATATCGGACCGGCCTGATTTTTGTCGGACATGTCCGACGGTCCGGCAACTTTCGCGAAGCCTGACCTTCCCGACAAATTTCCAGAATATTTTAATCAAAACTGCAGCCACTAATTTGTTAACAAGCTTTTTCTATTTTTAGCTCCTGTGATATAGTTTTTGACCGGAGATGACCCATCTTTGAACTTGACCTAGAAATCATCAAAACAACCTTCCTGACAAATTTCCAGAATATTTGGATGAAAACTGCAGCCACTAGAGTGTTAACAAGCTTTTTCTATTTTTAGCTCCTGTGACCTAGTTTTTGACCGGACATGATCCATCTTCGAACTTGACTACTTAGATATCATCAAAACAACCTTCCTGACAAATTTCCAGAATATTTGGATGAAAATTGCAGCCACTAGAGTGTTAACAAGCTTTTTCTATTTTTAGCTCCTGTGACCTAGTTTTTGACCGGAGATGACCCATCTTCGAACTTGACCTAGAAATCATCAAAACAACCTTCCTGACAAATTTCCAGAATATTTGGATGAAAATTGCAGCCACTATAGTGTTAACAAGCTTTTTCTATTTTTAGCTCCTGCGACCTAGTTTTTGACTGGAGATAACCCATCTTCGAACTCAATCTGTATTTCATTGAGACAAACATTCTGACAAAGTTTGATGATGAGCCAATCAAAACTGTGACTGCTAGCCTGTTAACAACCCAATTGTTTTGACGACGCACGACGAAGGACCCCGAACATAGCCCCATAACTATACCACTAAAAATGTGACCACTAGAATGTTAACAAGGTTTTTCCATATTTGGGCAGTGTGAGCTAGTTTTTGCCCAAGGTGACCCATATTCGAACTTAACCTAGAAATCATAACAAACTTTCAGACCAATTTACAGGATATTTTGATGATGATTGAGGCAAAAATGTGACCACTAGAGTGTAAACAAGATTTTTCTATTTTTAGCTCCGGTGACGTAGTTTTTCATCCGAGATGACCCATGTTCAAAGTTATCTGAGCTATCAACTAGATAAGCATCCTGACCAAGTCTGATGATGATTGAGGCAAAAATGTGACTGCAAGAGTGTTAACAAGGTTTCCTATTTCTAGCTCCGGTGACCTAGTTTTTCATCCCAGATGACCCATGTTCGAACTCATTTGAGCTATCACCTAGACAAGCATCCTGACCAAATTTGATGATGGTTGAAGCAAAAATGTGACCGCTAGAGTGTTAACAAGGTTTTTCTATTTTTAGCTCTTGTGACCTAGTTTTTCATCCGAGATGACCCATGTTCAAACTCATCCGAGCTATCAACTAGATAAGCATCCTGACAAAGTTTGATGATGATTGAGGCAAAAATGTGACCGCTAGAGTGTTAACGAACAAGTGTGGACGGACGACGGACATTCAATGATCCTAAAAGCTCACCTTGAGCAAGCTCAGGTGAGCTAAAAATCAAAGACCCCCTGTGGGGCCAATTTTGACCCCAGGGCTATAATTTGAACAAATTTTGTAGAGTTACATGAGACGATACTACACACAAAATGTTTAAGCTCTAAGCCTTGCAATTTCAGAGACAAAGTTTTTTAGAGAAATCATTTCAAAAATCTATTTTTAGCCCTTCTGACCCAGATGTTCAATTGAGTAGAACCATTTGAACAATTCTAGTAGAGTTTCATGCTAGGAACATCCCTGGAAAAATTCATCAAATTTGGTCAAGTGGTTTCTGAGACGTGGTTTGTATAAAAGTTGATGACGGATGCACTGACGGGCGCCGGACAAATTGTGATCACAAAAGTTGTTGACGCACAGACAATAGACAATGGGCCATCAAAACAAATGAGAACAATAGTTAAAGTCACACCAATGGTAATATGGCAACAGTCTTATTTTACTTCAGTTGGTTATTCAATCACTAATGGGTTATGTGAGAGAGCTTCTCAATGATAACTGTTCTGGTTCCATAAGCAACTTAACAATTTAGTCACAGAGGCCTTTAACCCACACTAAAATTGATTTTACCTTTGCTTCCAGTATAGAGCCAGGTCTGCAGTACATCTGAGCAGTCTGATCAGGCTCTATACTGTTAGCAGACTAGCCTAAAGTTTCATCTTCATATCCCCAAAATCCATAATTGACAGTTCCAAAAATAGAAGCTGCACGATCAGTTTAATAAGAGTTAATTAATCAACAAACCTAGATTCATCATATGGTGTTTTACAGAGACAATACAGTTCCTCTATGGCTGTCTCTTGTTGTTTTTTACAGTCATCACAAACAAAGGCGTCTATATATTTTGACTCGCTTTCACTAATATTCACACATTCCCCATGGAACCAGTTGGAACACAGATCACAACCAATATAAAATCTGTAAGGAAAATGTTATTTTCTTAAGAATACAGTTTTTAAGTTCATGTAATGCAAGGGGTTTAAAAACAACAACTTTTTTATGTTTAAACAAAACATTTTTAACAGAATGAACAAATTATCACAATGCATTAAATACATTTTTTTCCCCTCTAAATTTTCCATTTCTGCAATTAAAAGTACCACAATGTATCAAAACAAGTAAAAAGCGCTTCCTGTAAAACTATTTATGATAAAATATCATTATTTCTACATACCTTGATTCATCATAAGGAGTTTTACAGATACAATACAGTTTACGTTTGGGATTTAGACTTTTTTCTTTCACACCTGTAGAAATAATTTTCTGTTTCTTTTTCTTAGCTCTGGCTGCTTCAGCGACCTGCAAGCAAGAGACATTAGCTTATTAGAAGCCTAGCAGCAATTACTGAGACCTATGCTATCATTAAAGTACAAGGTACAATCTTTACTGTTCATTGATGATACTTTTTGTAACTGGTATTATTTGTCACGCCACAGACATGCATGTCATGCATGCAGCAAAAATTTCAGATGTTTATAATATTTAGTTCCAAATTTGTTTACCAAAACTATTTTTTTCATTTTAAGTTCAAAGCCCTTAAAACTATTTCAATGTAAACACAAACCATTTTTATACAAAGTTCAAGGCACTGAAACTATTCAGTATAAACCTTTTGTAAATTGCATACTGCATATTTGTAGCTAATAATGACTACATACATTTCCACAAAGTATGAGTGCTGAAACTGAAAATTTCAAAATTTTTTCAACATTCAAGAGAGATAACTTTGTCTAAAATCATTGATACAACCAAATTCAATCTTGAACTGCTTATGTATCTATATGTCAAATTTGAGTTGAATGTATACAAGGGAACTAAAAATTTCTATTTTTTTTTATCAAAGTTCAACAGTGTTAGCGATTTTCCCCTAACTTTACCGAGTACCTGGGACTCAGTGCTAATAGATCTGTTCGACCCAATTCAAGAGACAAGTTCTCAATTACAAAAATGTTAATGTTTGCATAACTTCATATTACAATCAACAAATTTGTGTACTTTATCTATATAATTTGACGGCTTTGTGCTCATGAATAATATTTAAGAAGTTAGGGCTGAAGGTCAATTAACAAAAAAACATTAACAGTCAAGATGTTGAAGAGCCTGCAAATCGACTGTCTACAGTCTTTAACGGTCTTTAGTCTCGCGAAAGAATGTGGAAAAGAGACTGTTGATACTTTAATTTACTTCATATCTCACATTAATATAAGCGATTGAATTGGGTTTATTTAAATACTATATCTTTTGTACATATTTCTATGTGTATTTTACCTTTTTAAAGGGTCACATTTTCCTACTTAACAACGGAACAGTCTCTTATGTCAAAAACATATTGACGACAGTGACTGTTGATGTTCGCGGATACCATTGATGGGTTGGCCCAAAACTAGGCCAAGCACTTGCTCCTAGTCTACGTTTGGGATATAAATCTGCATTGCTTATGAGAAGAGAACAAATCAAAATGAGGTGAAAGTCAAGAAAATCCGTTTTCAATCAGAGCAAAAAAACTTAAGACAGAATTAACCAATTATCGGGGAAAATTTTTCCTCCCTGGCAATTTTAGCGAGTAAATTGATATGTTTACTCAGTCAACACGAACACTGGTTCAAGAGTGATAACTCTGTCAGCTATCATCAAAACCATGACCTAATTCGAACTTGACCAGTGTATTCTTATGACATTATCCATATCTTAAATTTGAGTTTAATGTGTAACACTAAACATCATCTAAACATCAATGTGTAACGTTTTGTGGAACAGGGAGATAATTAATGGAAACTGAAAATTTCATATTACTTTCAAAGTGAAAGGCGTATAACTCTGCCAAAAATCATCAAACCATGACCATGTTCAAAACTTGACCTGTGCATTTTTTTTTTGACGTATCCATATGTCAAATTTTAGTTGAATGTGTAATACTTTTTAGGAGATAATGAATGGAAACAGAAAAATTTAATATTTTTTTCAAAGTGAAAGGGGCATTACTCTGCCAAAAATCATCGAACCATGACCAAATTCAAACTTGACCTGCGCATTCCTTTGACATATCCATATGTCAAATAATTTGATTTGAATGTGTAATACCGTTGCGGAGATAATGAACAGAAACTGAAAAATTTCATCAAGGGGCATAACTGTGAAAATCATGGGACCATGACCAAAGTCAAACTTGACCTGTATTTTCTCATGATAAATCCATATGTCAAATTTGAGTTGAATGTGTGCAACCATTACTAAGATAATGGACGGGAAACTGATGATGACTGAATGACAGAATGATGGAGGACGGAATGACGGAACAGGGTAACACTATGTGCCCCAGCCATTTATGGCGGGGGCAAAAAAAGGTGATTTGTGATGATTCAAACTGAAATATATAATATTTAAGTAGTTTACAAACCTGGGCACTTGAAGGAGGCATAGGTGGCAGTGTATTTTGTTGTCTTTATATTTTCCTCCTGTCGTTTCTGTAAAATCATAGCAGCTGGTACCACAGTCTGCCTCACTGGTACCGCTTTCTTTCTACTGGTAGCATGTGACTTCACTGCCTCTTGAATCTCAGCCTATGTAAAGAACAACAATAACAAGATTGCATTTGTGAACAAGGTGGCCATTGGCTCCAAAGCGCTCATCTGAAGACATACTGTTATTTGGAAAAGAGACAATTTTGACAACTGTGGTAGAAGATCTAATAGATGATATTATATACCAATTATCTAAGCTCCTTTCAGGCAAGAAGTTTTTTTTAAAAAGTTTTACAATACACATATAAGGAAAGCCTATGACTCCTACCCTGGGACAGGGCCAATTTTGACCCAGTGTCATAACTAATCAAGGGCCATAACTCTGAGTTAAAGTGTCTGACCCGAAAACAAGCCGACGATATGCGCATCTCCTCTTGGTATTGAAGGTTCCATAAAAAGTTTTCGTTGAATTCCACCGGTAGTTACAGAGAAGTAGTGCGGAAACAATTTTTACTCTATATGCATACTACATAACTAATCAAGGGCCATAACTCTGAGTTAAAGGGTCTGACCGGAAAAAGCCGACGATATGCGCATCCCCCCTTTGATATTTGATTTTAAATGATTCCCATAAAGTTTCGTTGAATTCCAGCCAGTAGTTTGCAGAGAGGAACTTACTCCGAAACGATTTTTACTCCATATGCATATTGCAAAACTAATCAAGGGCCATAACTCTGAGTTAAAATGTTGACCCAAACAATACACATATAAGAAAGCCTATGGACCCCTAACCTGGGACAGGGCCAGATTTTGACCCAGGGCTATAATTGGAACAATCTCAGTAGAATTCCACTACAAAGTTTCTACTACTACTTCATGTCAAATATCTAACCTCTAGCCTTCTGTCAATTCAGAGAGATTTCATTACTATATATACACTATAATAATAAGGAAAACCTATGACTCCCGGGGCAGGGCCTTTTTTGACCCACTAGGTGCATAAATTTGCAACAACTTTCATAAGAGGACCTATAGATGATATTACATACCAATTATCTAAAACTCTACGCCTTGTACCTTCAGACAAGAAGATTTTTTAAGTTTGCATTTTTAAAACTCCCTTTTCTGGCCCCGTAACCTACTTATGTAACAGACCAGAACCATTTGCACAACTTTGGCAGGGGACACCACAGGACCATTCCATTAAAGTTTAGGTTACTGTGCAGTCACTGGTTTCAGAGGAGATGATGTTTAAAGAACTTTTTGACGACAAAAGAGGGACGGATAGGGGTTCATAATTGCTCACCACGAGTATGTGTGATCATCCATCGATCAATTATTCAGATGTTTAAAGTTTTTCTATTTTTATTTTCAGCTTTAGCTGCCTCTACAAAGTGGCCATTCAAATTAATATCAGCAAATTTGATTAAAAGACTACCTAAAAAATGCTACAAAGATTATGCGTGATCATCCATCAATTAGTTCAGTAGAAAAAGATGTTTTAAGGATTTTCTATTTTTAGCTCTTTTTTACCCTAAAAGAGGCCAATTAACATGATATGAGCAAATTAAAGTGTGACTGTCACTAGTATGCAAAAAACTAAATTTGAAGTATATTTGTCCAGCAGTTTCAGAGAAGATGAATGTTGACACATGATGATGGACGCTGGAGCATCCCCCTACCTAGTACTAATAGGCTAACCCTGAACCTTCGGTTATTGTGAGCTAAAAAAGCATTTTCTCATTTCTGTTTATGATAAAACATGAATTTGTGAACAGGGTTACCAAGTCCTCCGTCTCCAGGGAAGTTTTGTATGAAGCATAAAATTGTGCTATTTCAAAAGATTTGAGGTATGGATCTCAGGACATTCAGTCCAATATTATGATCAATGCTAGATCTGTAAATGCAACAATAAATTTATTAAAGAAATAAAATTTAAACACAGAATATTTAAAAATCTTTCATTGTTAATTTGTTTGGGGTTTTATGTCACACCAACGCAGTATAGGTAATTTCCAGCTTTACTGGTGGAGGAAACCTCAGGTGCCCTTCCGTGCATTTATTTCAGGCACCTGAGTAAGAACAAACGACGTTCCGTAAGCTAGCTGGGATAGCTTCCTCACATGAAAGAATCCAAAAGTCCCTGTTGAATTCGAACCTACAGCGGTGAGGGGCAAGTGGTTTGAAGTCAAACGATCTTAACCACTCGCCACGGATGCCCCTATCATGTTTAAGCTATCATGTTAAGCTTTGACCTCTAAAATGTGACCTTGACCTCGGAGGTAGGGTGCAGGTGTTGTGCATGACATATCATCTTATTATTGTAACTATTTTGTGCCAAGTATTTTTAAAATCCCTTAATCTATGAAAAAGTTATGGACCGGACACAAAATATACCTATAAAAGACTATGTAAAATCTTTGACCTCTAAAGTGTGCCCTTGACCTTGGAGGTAGGGACACAGGTGTTTAAGCATGACATATCATCTTATCATTGTGACTATTTGTGCAAAATATTTTCAAATCCCTTGATCTATTGAAGAAGTTAGGGACTGGAGACAAATATACATATAACTGACCTCTGTTAACTTTTGACCTCTAATATAAGTGTGACCTTGACCTTGGAGGTAGGGGTGCAGGTGTTGTACTTGACATATCGTCATATTATTGTGACTATTTGTGCCAAGTTATTCAAAATGTCTTGAACTATGAAGAAGTTCAAGATCGTTATAACATACTATGTTAATTTTTGACCTCTAAGTGTTGACCTTGGTCTTGAAGTAGGGATGCAGGTGTTGTGCGTGACATATTGTTTTATTATAATGACTATATGTGCCATCTTTTTCCAAAAATCCCTTGATCTATGAAAAAAGTTATGGACCGGACACAAAATATACCCTATAACAGACTATGTTGACCTTGAATGAGAAAGTGCGACCTTGACTCTGGAGGTAGGGGTCTGGTTTGTTGCGCATGACACATTGTCTTATTATAAGAAACATTTGTGTCAAGTTATTTCATAATTCCTTTGAAAAAATGACAAAGTTATGGACCGGACACGAAAGTGTGATGGACGGACAGCACGGACGAAGCCTATTTCTATATCGGGACAAAAATCAAACTGGAATCTTTGGTTCTAGTGAGCTAAAAAGTATTTTGCATTTTTGTTATATGATAAAACTAGAAATGTGTCCATAGGACACAGAAATGCCCACACACCCACTGTTCTGTCAATCTTATGACTCTAGGTCAAATATTTTTTTGGACTACATGTGCCACAAGTGTGAAAACTAAAAATCTACAAAGGGCCATAATTCTGTTAAATTTGGTCGCAGCAAAAATTCCTTCCTTTACTGCCATCTACACATTAAGGTTGTTCATCCTTGAAAGTTTAAGCAAAAATCTGCCATCCGGTTTAAAGAGGAGTTGCGTTCACAAAAAATTTCTACATAAAATATAGTGAAAAAATCAACAAAGGGCCATAATTCTGTTAAATTTGGTTGCAGTGAAAATTCCTTCCTTTACTACCATCTACACATTAAGGTTGTTCATCCCTGGAAGTTTATGCAAAATCTGCCATCTGGTTTAAGAGGAGTTGCGTTCACAAGATTTTGGGATGTACGGACGTACCAAAATTTGGTGTTTATGAGGCAATTGAGCTCATAAACACCACCTGGACCAACGTCCATAAGCAAAATAAGCTCATAAAAACAAAAAATAGCTCTTAATTTCAAATTTTATGAGTTTATGTTCTTTATTTAACTACGGAATGAAGCTCATAATAATCAAATGTTGGCTCGGACAGACGGACGTACGTATGGACGGACAAGTGCAACGCTATATGCTCCCACTTTGTGGGGGCATAAATATCAGACTGTTCAATGTGTTCAGTACTTGAAAATTTCTCTTATAAACTACAAAGTTACATGTATGGCATGGTCAATAATTATATCACATCTTTGAAACAATCAGTCACTAAAACCATGATTTACCACTCTCACAACCAACAGTCACAACTATCGACTATCATGTTAACATAATAATAATATACAAAATTACCTGCCATCTTTTTTACCTGTATATCTAGCTGCATATTCCTTTCATTTAGAGTTCTTTTTCTCTGAATTTCTTTCTTTAAGGCTTCTTTTGTGTTTGTACAGTGTTTGTTGTATCTTGGTAGCTGCAAGACGTTTTTGCTTCTCCTCAGCAGATTCTGCCTTCTTCTGGAGTTTCTGCTCCTTTCTTTCCTCTCTTTCTATCTTATCAAGAATTCCCTTCAATACCTGGTTACATATTGATACCCTGTAATGTAAAATCATATTATCCTGTTGGTATTCTATCCTTTTTTGAAATTTTCTTGCTTTGTTTTTTTTTTCTGGAAACCCCTGATACGAAGGAACTGCCATGCCTTCCTTGTATTTATAGAAACATACCTCAGGTAAAAAGACATTAAATTAGTACACTTACAAATGCACAGGATTATTTGTAATTCTGTTCAATTATATGTGATATTAAATATTATTGTGATAAGGTATTACACCACTATGTGCTGATGAGACAGTCATGCTCATCTAATTAAATACTGGATGCAGTAAAGAAACAAGAATGTGTTTGTTAAACACAAATGCCCCCGGCTCAGATTCTTGTCAGTAGCAATATTTCAAAAAAATGATTACCAATTCACTCAGTTATGGACAGAAAAATTGCCAAAAAATTGTAAACACAAGTTATATATAGCTTTGACAAAGTCATAGAATTTTGTAATTGTGAAAAATACAAGTTGCCAAGTCATTGCACTGACTTGTGAAGTTGAAAAATATTCAACTTCATGCAAGTTACATCTGTCATTAAATAAAGGCTGTATGGGCAAAAGTGTAAAAATCTATTTCGAGCATTGGTGACCTTGACCAAACTGACCCCTAACTCTATCCAAAGGAAGAATACCATGTAAGTTATCTTCCTACCAAATATGAAATAAATCTGTCAATAAATAAAGGCTGTATGGGATAAAGTGTAAAAATCTATTTTTAGCACTGGTGACCTTGACCAACTGACCCCTTACTCCACCCAAAAGGAAGAATACCAATGCAAGTTATCTTCCTACCAAATATGAAATACATCTGTCAATAAATAAAAGCTGTATGGGCAAAAGTGTAAAAATCTATTTTTAGCACAAGTGACCTTGACCCACTGATCCCTACCCCCAATCAAAAGGATGAATACCATGCAAGTTATCTTCCTACCAAATATAAGATATATCTGTCACTTAATAAAGGCTGTATGAGCAAATGTGTAAAAATCTATTTTTAGCACTGGTGACCTTGACCCATCTGACCACTAACTCCATCAAATTTTATGTTTCTATCAATTATAAATAATATCTGTCTATAGAATAAGGTTAATACACCTGTAAAAATGTAAAAATCTATTTTTAACATTGGTGACCTTGACATTGGTAACATTGACCTTGACCCAATTGACCCCTTACTACACCCAAAGAAGGAGGACCGCCCTTGGCATGTTTGTATTAAACTAAGACACCAACTAAAAAACAAGCAAATTCGTTGAATTTATATCCGCCGCCTTTATTTGAACAAACTTGGTAGACACCCACTAAAAGATGTTTGAAGCTTGGGTTTTTTTTAGAAGATTTTCTTTGTTTTTACTTTATAGATATAAGGAAAATCAATGACCCCCTTTTCTTTCTGTTACAATGGCAACCAGTTCTGCCTGCACCAAATTCAATTCTTTGAACAATTTTCAAAGGTTACCACCAAAGGAACATTCATGTAAAGTTTGGATGAAATTGGCATGACAAGTTTCAATAAATTGCATTAGTGGTAAAAGGAGGTAGTCAGGACACTTTAAAAATAAAAATTATTAAAGGGCCATTACTCAGACAAAAATCATTGAACTGGAAAATGCTGACGATATGCAAAACTGGACTTGGTACTGATCATTCTTGTAAAGTTTGGACGAAATGTCACTAGTAGTTTTGAGGAGTAGTCCAGACAAGTTTTGTGATGGACAGACAGACAGACAATGGAGAAGTGATCTCTTTATGTAGAGATTTTTGAAGGATGCACTATGGATGCAGAGTGATCACAAAAGCTCACCCTTGAGCACCTTAAGGTCGGGGGAGCTAGAAGAAACTGGGCATATCCATTTATGGAATACAACCGGTTAAGACTAAAATGAACAAGGTAAGATTTTGTGATTTTAGAAAAACTCCAAATCATTACAGTATTAAAAACTTCTAAATTTATTTTTACCTTGTATGGGTCTCTTTCTGTTCAGGAGTCAGTATAGCAGGTGGTTTTTGTTTGGCCAGCTTAGATTCCTGACTCTCTACAGTTCTCACTACTTCCTGTCTACCAACCTGTGACACAAGGGTAGCTGCTGGAATGAGACTTTTCACATCATCTTGTTTTTGTTGCACCATGTGTTTCTGCATGGCAAGGAGTTTAGCTTGGATCTCCGGCGTCTGATTCTGCATTAGTGCTTGACGTACAACTATAATATACAACATCATGTTAAAGTTGTTGCATTAATTATCAATCTACATTGAAAAGGAAAAAATTATATAAGGTGCAACTTCTGCAGAGGTGCAGTCCCTTTATAACAACAGTAATAAAATAGGAACACATCTAGTTTATTGGACCTAAGAAGATAAATAATATTAGCACATTTGTTTTTTTGTTGGTTTTATTTGGGGGGGGAGCTGCTGCCCCAACACCACCTATTTTGGTCAAAAACTTTTTAAGCTATGTGCGACAAAAGTTGAAAATTGGAAAAAATTTACAAAGTCAAGGGCAATAACTCTAACAAAACTGAAAAAAATCCACATGCAAACCCTAGGACTAAGGTGCATAGCTTCACAATGATGTTGATCATTATTTCTGTAAAGTTGGTTGATTCTAACACAAGCAATCGAGGAACAAATAACACAACATAATGGAACTGTTTTCACTAAGTCAAGGGCAATAAATCTAACAAAACAGAAAAAATCCACAAGTGAAACCCCAGGTGCATAACTTCACATGATGAACAACATTCCTGTAAAGTTTCATGACACTAGATCAAATACTTTTTGAGTTATGTGCGACACAAGTTGAAAATTGTAAATTTTAACAAAGTCAAGGGCAATAACTCTAAAAATACTAAACATATCCACATGTAAATACTCAGGTGCACAACTACACATGCTGATCAACATTCCTGTTAAGTTTCATGACTCTAGGTCAAATACTTTTTTAGTTACATGCGACACAAGTTGAAAATTGCAAAATTTTACTAAGTCAAAGGCAATAACTCTAAGAATACTAAAAATATCCAGACGACAAATACCCAGGTGCACAACTACACATGCTGATCAACATTCCTGTCAAGTTTCATGACTCTAGGTCAAATACTTTTTGAGTTACGTGCGACACAAAAGAGAACGGATGGAAGGACGGACAGACGGAGAAGGGTAAATCTAAATGCCGCCACTAAAGTGGGGGCACAAAAATGAACAAAGGGCACTAACTCCAAAATTAGCAAGTCAGAGATATGGTTCTTTTGCACTGTACTTCCACCCAATGAGATCTATCTACCTACAAAGTATCATGTTGAAATCTCTTACAGTTTCAGAGTTATATCCCGAAGTGTAACAAGAGCCACCTCCGGGCGGGTACAACGCTCGACTTTTTACTTTATTCTAAAAGCAATCAAATAAACGGTTTTAACAAACCTTAAGGAAAAAAGTTATGTGTTCCTGTTTATAATTTTTCTAGGTCTGTCTTGTTACACTAGTTTTGTATATACGAGGGATGTCCAGAAAGTTCATATACTTCTTCATTTTTTATTCTATAACAATACATACGCTGTACAAATTTTGTCAGCAAAACTATACATATCTAGCGAACACATTACATACAACATACAGTGTTCAATCTAGAACAAATTCCCAGGGGGCCCTTCGGGCCAATAAACTTTTCAAAAAGGGGTCATTTGAGAAAAAAGGGGGCCCACATCAAATTCAAATAAGGTATTGTATCTTTTAGGTTACTTGTTCACGTACCGTATATAGACCAAAAACGGTTGCAAAATTCCAAAACAATCAACTCACTAAAAAATGACATTATTTTGACCTTTTTTGAGAGTTCTGTTAGTGTTGATACAGACTCAATTTTAAGAACTGATTGGTAAAGAAACAATGACATAATGTTCAAAAAAACATATAAATCTTATTTTAATGTTACCAGGGATATTTGATAATAATGTTCAGTTTTTTAATCAGCGCCCGATATATAAAAGAAAATCATATTGTTGATGAAGAATTTAAACTTACAATAGTCGCTAAAAACATTTACCCTTCTCAATATATCCAAGCGAAAAAAGTGTCAACAGGTGCTAAGACAATGTATATTGACATACCGGTACCTTTGATCTTTTGTCAGGGCAGCAGTTCTTACGTCACGCTTAAGATGTCTGTATTGATTAATGATATGCACAATGTTTAAGCGCCGACCAGCCAAAGACCAATCAAAGTTTATTTACTCAATTGTCAGACACTCCCTAGCCAATCGTGTTTGATTAGCTCCATCTTTAAGACTTTTTTTAATTGGATGAAGGCGTGTTCGTAATAATTTATGCACACTTCTCTATAATTAACTCGCACTTTTCACAAATATATATTTTTTCCCCTCCGGAAAGTTATGACATATTTATTTGTTTCGATCGTGAAAAAACGAAAACTAAACGCACGTATTGGATCATCTGTGATGATTTGTTTTGTTTATAAAAACTGTGACTCAAAAGTAAGTAATAGTTACAGTATGAAGAACAAGTCTACATAGTATTTACAGACCCTGGCCGAGAGAGCGTAGCGATTCGGTAACTATCTTACCAACATGCTCTTGTTTTTCTATACAAACTTCAGTTTTGAATTCAGTATTTATTAATATTATTCACAAAAAACTTGTTTTATGTACTTAATCAGGTTAAAGAAAGCATTCTAATGTCATTTAGGGCATTTTCTATGAGTGCGCCCATCGGGCCCACAGTTGAATTTGTTTTGCGCCGGCGGTCTTTTCAGGGGGTCAATGGCGCAATGGGGCGCTCTAGATTGAACACTGAACATATAAACAATCTTTGTGGAGCACTTTGACAATGTCAACAGCGTCAAATTAACTTCACGCTAACCCACTATTCAATTTCTTCAGATTTCAACAGCCATGGTACCTGTCTTGCCTATACTTAATACATGTTATATATTTTTGCCATTACTTTATGGATTTCATATACTACAATTTATTTAAAAACAAAGATGTGACCGAGGTTCTACATGTCTGTCTTTTCCAAAAATTGTTGTAACGCAATCTACAATATTTCGGCCATGCTACTTTTTGTCCTCTGGAGCATTTCTTAAATGATATACTATCATCACAGCTTCTTAATCATATTTGACATTTAAACACAAGATCCCTTTAACAATTTATGATTGGTTTTGTTTTTAAAGCCTCAGTTGGTGTCATATTTGCTTTGCTATGCAGTTAAATAACATTTCGTTGTTCCGTCCTTGAATTTGACGCAATATTTGAAACACAAAATTTATGCACCTTCATTGCCTATAACTGTCGTTAACAAGCTGTTTATTTGCGCATGACGTCATAATTTTCACTAAATATCATGCAATAGTATCCTTTGATGTCATAAGATTAAAACGAGAGTTTGTGTTAAAATGACAATTTTTAGCAACTTATTATTCGAGTAGCTATAGTAAAACAAGAGGGCCATGATGGGCCTGAGGTCGCTAACCTGTAAATAGCCCCCCCCCCCCCCTACCCATAAGAAGATGTTTCATGCCAAACATCTAAGCTCTAGCTCATTGGGCTTTTTAAAAGAAGATTTTTTTAAGTTTTTACTATACACATATACAGTCGGCATCGTACTTGCGTCCACCTTTATTAAGCGACTTTTTTATTAAGCGGCCGAATAATATACCTCCCGATGATTTTTACTATTTAATTTAATTCCATTAAACGACTATTTTATATCGCGGCCAGCGGCCACTGAATGTCGGCCCAAATGTACAAAATCAAGTGTTAAAGTATCTATTAAACGGCCGTGACAAACAATCGCGGGCATTCTCACATGTGTAATTAGCGAGTAGGTGAGATGTGTACTAGCAAATAAACAATTTTTTTTCATGGTCATTGGTCACAAATAATTGTCGTTTAAAAACGAAATGAATAACAATTGCAATCGTTTGAAAATCGGATTTTCCGATCGTAATATTAATCGTGACATATTTTGTCAGAGCAATAACGTATCACAACACCGCATTTGCATAGTTTTGTCATGTGCTCAGAGTGACCTCCCTTATCGAAAATGACGTCGGATAAAGCGAAAAAAAGACAGACAACTAATAAGAACGGATAAATTGTATGAGGAAATCGTGCATGGAATTGAGTCTGAGTAAATAGCAAATGTCATCGATTGTAGTCGAAATAAAATCGTGAAACGTAGTGGACTAAACATTACAGAACCGAGCTGATGGTGTAGGTGCTCATCTGATGTTTTATAAAATACATGTAGTACCCCATTAAATATGACCCTTCGACAAAAAAAGACAAAAAAATCCTAAATCTCTTAAAATCTTATTGAATTTAAAATCGGGGTAGTGTGAAAACTAATTGTTGAAAAAATCAAGAAGTTTAAAACTCATTGCATAAAAAATTATCTGGAGCCCTTGCTGATGATTCTAAAGTATGTTCAGCAGGATGTGTATGAACATATTAAAAATATAAGACAATATGCTTTGTTTCATGGTCAAAATGACCTGTTGACAGTATTATGAGCGTAGATCACATTTGTACACAAATTTCTACTAAAAAACATAAAGAAACAATATTGATGACTTTTTTTTTAAATAAAAAGGCATAAATGTAATTATAAAACTGTAATACATACATAATATTGTATAGTTTTTGTTTTTATAAAAAAGATGTTATTATATCTATGGCTTGTAATAAAAAGTCTTGAATTTTCCAGAATTCTATTGAGAGACCACTTTATTAAGAGACCACTTTTTGGCAGTCCCTTGAGTGGTCTCTTAATACAATGTTGACTGTAGTTAAAAACAATGACACCCCTGGGGCGGGGCCAGTTTTAACCCCAGGGCTTTTATTTGAACAAACTTTGTAGACACTTACTAGAAGATGTTTCATGCTTAATATCTAAACTCTAGCTATTTGGGTTTTTTCAAAGAAGATTTTAAGTTTTTGCTATATATAAGGAAAATCAATGACCCCTGGGGCGGGGCCAATTTAGACCCCAGGGCTTTTATTTGAACAAACTTTGTAGGCACTCACTAGAAGATGTTTCATGCTTAATATCTAAACTCTAGCTATTTGGATTTTTTTCAAAGAAGATTTTTTAAGTATTTGCTATACACATATAAGGAAAATCAATGACCCCCGGGGCGGGGCAAATTTTCGCCCCAGGGCTTTTATTTGAACAAACTTGGT